GAAGAACAGCAACTTCTCTCTCAATAAACAGCCAATACACCACAAGTGTTACAAGATAACCCCCAAGCTTTCTGAGCTACTGATACTCTACACCCTAATTTAGGCTAGATTTCAAACTGCCACTTCCACAAGCTGAAAAGCTTAGAAAAGTGGAAACAATAAAGCATTGTTGGTTGAGTAAGAGTTCACAGAAAACACAAATAAAGCAGACCTGCTGAGCATCCTAAAGGAGACAAAGAGATGTCTGAAAAAGCCAGAATGTATGGAACTGTTATCTGCATAAGAAATTCAAGTGTGTTGCTTTAACGTACTCTTCTCTTGAGCTTAGTCCCCCTACTAAAAGAAAACCCAACAACATTTAAGACAACCATCCATCCACTGTATCCACAAGTGAACAGACACTCCCCCTAAGGCGAAAAAAATGCACAAAGAACTCGGGAGACCTGGTGCAGTTGATACCAAGGGAAAAATCTCAGGTTCTCATGTTCTGAAATACATCCTCCAGTTTCCATAGGCAGCATGGGAACACTAGGCTCCTATTCACCTAAATGACAAACCTGGTGTTAGTAAAACTAACTGCTCTTCTCACAGACTGTAGGAAAGAGTGGAAGACTTGTACAGATCCAGTGTAGAAAAAAGACCCTGTGCTTAAGAAAACAGTTATGCTGAAGCACAGACTTACACACATAAATCACAAATAGGGTGAAGCTGAAGATCCAGAAAGTAATTCTTAGGCATATTCCACAGAAGTGTAATTAGATGACCAAGTAGGAATCTGCCTGTCTTCACCACTTCCTTCTTTTCCCCCTTGTCTTTGCTGAAGCACACCATTTTGTCAGCATAGATATATACGCAATCAGACTAGACATTAAAGGTGCCTTGCTAGCTAAATCTCAGCTGCTTGCATAGAGTCATAAGCTAGTTAACAACTCCAGGGCTACAAATTTGCTAGACAATGATAAAAGAGAGCCTGGAGTCAAAGCCAAGCAGGTGACTTGACAGTTTTCAAAGTTATGTAAATAATGCTGTACTTCAGCAGTTGCCAGTCACACAAAGGAAGTCAAAGCTCTCTGCAATAAGAAGTGTGCTGGAAATGCTGATAGGAGAGAGACTTTATACTTGTACATACATCAGCAAGCAGCAGACTTTCAAAATGCAATACCCTGTTCAGAGATTTCCATGCATCTGCCCTTTTAGAGCCACAATAGGCAGAATATGTGGCAGAGCACTTGCAATAAGAAATCAAGGCTTACAGAATCATACATTTAGGAAATTAGTATTGTTTTAAATACAGTTTTAGAAAGTTCAAAGAATTTTAAAAAAAAGTCAGTATCATAATGAAAAGTCATTGAATACCAGGAATATTTAGGAGCCCAACTATAAAAATTCCCTTTAATATCAGATTTCATAGAATTATATAACATACCATTGAATTATCTAATGAATTATTAAGCAGCAGAACAGTATGATCAATACAATAAGACAATAAGCAGAAATAAGTATCGTTCAGTCCAACAAGTTACACACAAAGCTGCGTATTCAAAACCTTACACACCAATGCTTTGACCAGTGGCAGTGAATGAAGTGCTGCATGTATTAAAAGCTTATGAATAGACAAGAAATAAGAGTCTTGTAACCTTGTTGTTGGTGTCAACCCAGTATCAGCTAATAAGGCATAAGCTGCCAGGAATACTGTGCTGTTTTGGCCTGGGCTAGAGTTAATTTTCTTCCTGGTAGCTAGTATGGGGTTACATTTTGGATTTGTGCTGAAAATAGTGTGGATAATACAGGCACGTTTTAGTTACTGCTGAGCAGTGCTGACAGAGTCAAGGCTTTTTCTGCTTCCCACCGCACCAGCGAGGAGCTTGGGGGTGCACAGCCAGGACAGCTGACCCCAACTGACCAAAGGTATATCCCAGACCATGTGGTGTCATGCTCAGCATATAAAGCTGGGGGAAGAAGGAGGAAGGGGGCAGATGTTCAGAGTAATGGTGTTTGTCTTCCCAAGTAACTGCTACTTGTGATGGATCCCTGCTTTCCTGGAGATGGCTGAGCACCTGCCTGCCCATGGGAAGTGGTGAATCAATCCTTTGTTTTACTTTGCTTGCATGCATAGCTTTTGCTTTACCTATTAAACTGTCTTATTCTCAACCCATGAGTTTTCTCACTTTTACTCTCCCAATTCTCTCCCCTGTCCCAGCAAGGGGGAGTGAGCAAGCAGCTGTGTGGGGCTTAGTTGCTGGCTGGCTTAAACCATGACAAATACCCATGATTTACCTTCAGAGCTCTATTCCATTCATGCTATCAATACCAAGCCTCATTCTATCTTCACTCACCATGAGACTGTACAAAATTTAATTTTTAACCCTGGTGCCCCTAACCCTGTCCTTAGCCATAACCTAAAGTATAAATCAAATAAGCCAAACCACCCAGTACAGAACATTCCATAGACCACTGGCAGCCATCAAACCTAGACCTGCAAACCCTGCTGCATGATCCATAAATAAATCTAACTCTTTCTGATACCATTCATAATCCTAACCTAATCTTATACTGAAGAAAAACATACCATTCTTTTCTTCTGACATGATAGGTTTACAGACACTGACAGTAAAACTCTCCAGTTCCCCTCCCAAATCTTAAACTCATGCCTAATTCTATGGTGAACAGTTGACATCTATAACACTCTCAAGCAAAGCAGAACATCCTCTCCCAGAATGGTCATCACCATTCTGGTTCTTTCTTCTTACCTTCCATGTTGCCTAAAGCCCTTTCTTCACTCCTTCCATACATTATTTCCAAACCAAGAAATATCAAGGCAGATATCCTTCCCCTGTCTCAAGGAAGATGGTTAGTTTCTTTAGGCAGCTCAACTTTAAAGTATTCCCCTATAGCTAGAAAGGTTATTTTAGAAAAAGTTCAAAATTGTTAGATCACATATTCTAACAAGCAAAGGAAAATTCTATTCACAGATCAAATAATTAACTTTATAACTTGGAAGCTATTTCTTTCTTACAAATCAATCAGCTAAATAATTCTGCAAATGTAGGAGTAGAATTACCAGAAGTGTGAAGCACTCGAGTTCTGTACTCTTAGGTATATAACTATTGACTAATATATATACAGCTCACACAGTGCAGTCTCTAGCTGGTTTTGAGATCATGCACACAGGCATTAGAAAAATAACCTTCAATTTTGTATTTTAAAAAACCTGCATAAATTACCCATTTCTGTACATCTGCTTAAAGGCATTCATTTTTATATACAAATAGCAGCTAGGCTACTAGTAAAACATTCAATCTTTCCAACAAATTCCTTGAACACAAAGCTGATAACTTCCTTCACTATATTCTAATACCTCACTTACAAATGCAGTCTTTTTAAAGCTGGCTTTTCACAACAAGCTATCAGTTATGACATAAAACTTATGCACATATGAAATTAAGACCATGCGTCTCAACAGACCAAAGACAATGCTCAATGCTGCAGGAAATAGTTACTAATATATCATGGCATGACTATGGCTTTTTCACAATAAAGTTGTTAAAACAGTAAGAAGAGGCTACACAGAATGAGTAAACAGGTGCAATTTTTCAGTATAAGGCTGTCATGCAGGTATTTTACATCTATTCCGTTTGGAAGGTATGGACTACATACACGATTTTGACTTTTTCCAGTTTAACATTTCTTTTCTTTTTGCCTGTCCCTATAAGAACCAGAAGAATAGAACATAAGTTAATATTTTAACAGTCCCCTCCCTCCCAACCAACGGGAGCCATAGACTATGGGCTACTCAAACCACATTTTAAGAAGTCAAGAATTAATGAAAACAATGGCCAAAAGTAATTCAAATCCTATTTCACACAAGAACAAAAGTAATATTTTGACACTTCTGGGAGAGAAATCAGAACTATGAACAGTTGTTACTGAATTTCTATGATGATAGATAGTACAGTCTTCTATGATAGATACAACAATGTTAATTAACTATTCCAAGTCATCAATACACAGGAACACAAAAGCTGCACTGAAGAACTGTTGCCATCAACTCCATGAGGAAGCAGATTAGGATCATGGTTTGCAATACCAGAATGTTTTTTGACTGCAACAGAAACTAAATTTAGATCCAGTTACATAAAAAATACTAATAGCCTTAACACTTTTAATCAGCATAAGAGGTTTAGAGATATACAAATGATTTAAAGTCTGTTGACTAGTTTTATACTGCATTTGCAATATTGTGCATTAGTAAAATCAGGGAGATTATAAAAGAAATACTGAAGCATAATAAAATTACATAAAACATGAAAAGCAGGCTATACAGAGTGACTCCAAACTTGGTATTAATAGAAATGTTACCAGAATACATCTAGAACATAATTTCTGTATAAATTTCTGCAGCATGGGGCCAAACCTACTCAGGTAATGCAACACTAGTACCTGGTAGGTTCAGAAAACAGGATAAATTCTTTATAAATTCAGTATTAATTTATACTGTTCTTCATACTGTTGCACATCGCTGATCCATGACTAGTACAACAGCACAAAGCAATCTGGCAGACTTTCAAATGCCAAGTCTGGCATGGTGACGGGCAATATGCTCTGCCAGCTGTGCAACTCCTTCAGGAGCTGCAAAACAGCAAAAAAATAATTCCCTGATGATTTTTAAAGATAGTTCATTATTATGGCTTACAGAGCACCTGCCAATAATTCATGAAGTATTGATCACATCATGCTCAGGGTTTTTTCTCCATAGCAGCTAAACAAGTTCCTGAAAACAACAGAAGACACCACAATATTGTCCTAATGCAATTAATTACTTGGATAAGCTAAAACTGTTGCCCCAAGCATGTAGTAAAATTGCAAAATAGGTGACAATGTTATCATGTGTCCCACCTCCCACTTTTTGATATGTGTTGTATACCACGAAAAGGTTTTCAGGTTCACACCTGGAAGCATATGCAACAGGTCAGCTAGCTAAATGTGGGTAATTTTTTTTTTTTTCTTGCACAATGTCATCAAAAAGTATTCCTTAAATGCCTGTTTCTATCACTGTGTACTAGCAGGTACAGAAATTAAACAGCTGACCATTAGTACTACTGAATTTTAGTGATGATTAAGTTCTATCCACATTCCTTTCTTTTAAGGATCTTCCAAAATCCTCTTATACAATTTTTCTGTAAAATTGAGTGTTACTACTGAAAAGTCATACTACCTACCCCCTTCAGAATTATTCCTGAGAAACACTGATAGTAACAGCTGAGATAAGCATACTATAAAACTTACCCAGATGGATTTAAAAGAGGGAAAAGAAAAAAACAACAACAAAAAAGAAAAATACTAACTTCAAAGAAATTACTGTAAATTGTACCTTAAGGCAAGTATTATCACTGATACCTGGTCAGACACTTCTGAAGCCAACTCTTCTAAAACCTGGAGAGGAAGCAGGAGTTTCTCCACATTAGATCAACTGCAATGGTTTTACATAGAACTACCGCTTCTAAAAAACCCCGAACAATAAAAGGCTAGCTTTCAACTTCTAAGCTATTTAACATTTTTTCTTCACATGAACTCATTCTCAGTGATCTAAGCTGGCCTGCTCTAGATTGGAGTTCTTGTTCTGATTTACACAGCTGTAAAGCAGTCTAGAAAATAACTGTGCTCTGCGTCACATTATGGTTTAGAACTGGTTAGACAGCTAAACCAGACTCCTTGCAGACAAGGCAACTGAATTAAGCAACAACTCTACGAAGGTATCAGTGAAACCATCAGCTTGAGAAACTAATCACTCCAAGTGTTGTTGCTTAATAATTGTGCTGCCAAGAGTTCATTCTTCCTCACTGACACCTAAATACGCCTATAAACTGACTAGCCACAAAGGAAAAAACAATTTTGGTTGTACCTAAAAAAATTCTTTAATACATTGGAGATGGAACAGTTACTTAGCTGCAAAAGTTCTGACATTGTTACTTGACATAAATATTATGTTTTCTACATATTTTCCACATTCTTAAATACCAGCAAGGGCACCATAGCCACTATCACATGATAAACTCTTTCCACTGATTTCCCCATGTAATTTTACAAGAACTGGTATTAACCTTGGGCTGAGTTGGACAGAAGGTTTGTGGTTTTGGTTTTTTCTTTTTTAACCAAAATTACCATCACTGCAAATTTCTTTAGAACTTTTTGTCCTAAGTACCTTCTAGGGAATTTTTAAGCACTTCAGAAAAACTGCACTGAAAATGAGAAATATTTAATAAAAGTCTACACAATTGAAAGAATTCGCTTGTTATCAAAATTCGTGAATACCAGAGTGCAGTAACAAACTATACTTTTTGGCAGATGCTTAGCTCATTATCATTCAGCTGTTGGAACCAAAGATCCAGCTTGCATCACTGAAGAGGATTATGCAACAACAGGCAGGTTATTACTGCGCTCATAGAGTTGCTTCTTCATAGTGCTTGGAGTTTCTATGTATCGTTTTGCAGGGAGACAGCTACAGGCCCTATTAGAAGTTTTACACAAAAATACAGTTTTTTCCTTTTTTGTTTTTACTTCCTATCACAGTGGGAATATATAATATATAATCTATAATCTATCAATATGACTAAAATTCAAAGTGCACTGCATGAAACAATCTAGCTCTTCCACATCTTTTTATCTTCCATATTTATCAAACTTTAACGCTCTCACTACGCATAAGAAAACACAACTGTCAATTAACAGGTATTTTAAATACTACTACTATATTTCTCTTCTACCACTGTAAGCAAGCATTACTGAGCTGAAAGGAGTTATCGGTTCACTTACCACTGAACTGCAACCACTCTTCAGAACTTCTTTGCCAGAAACACTAAGACACCTTTTAGGACAAGGAATTAAGAAATTTACTAACGTAGCTAAAGTAATTTAGGTTGATCCAAAACAATACACTCTTTCATCCCTTGGTTAGTACTGGTCAAGCAGTGTGATGTACACTAACAGTTCACAGCATGTACTGCTTATCATGCAGGGGAGACATCATTTTAGACCATCCAAAACATTAAATGTTTTCCCTGCTGGCAAACTTTTTAGATTATTTTCTACAAATGCTTGTGTTATTATAATGGAAGCTTTCAACTTCACTAGAAGGAATAAAAGTACTCTTTTTTGTAAGATAAATTCCACTCTCATCAACTTTGGCTAACTACCCAGTTCTGTACTTGCAGGAAACAAGCCACATAACAGAGTCCCATTTACAAAATAAAACCTAGGGATGCAAACTTTGATCTGTTTCATATCACTTTTCCAATCAGAAAGTGTCTCAGAGAAGATAAGACGACTGTTTAAAGTATTTTTAAAATTAAATTTCCACAGGCAATTTTAAAGATTCTTTTAATCTAGTTTCATGATCCCGTTTTGAACTACCATTGGTTCCTCACAGTTTTCAGACGAAGATCTAAAATTCTGTTTACAGGCTACATTTCTTTAAGATATTTGACTGCGAGGTCATCTTCCCCAGCACCACATTTTTAAAACTATGAAAACATCTGTAAAAGCCATAAAACAGAATATTATGGAACACTGAGATCCTTACAGTAAAGATTTCTTTACCTAAAGTGTCCAAAAATTTTAGTGGTGTATGTGTTTTCTCCAGACAGTACATTCTCTTTCCCAACTGAAATGTATTAATACATGTCATGCTTTATTGAAGAAATCTTGATTTACCACCATGTAAATGATTTGGAGTACAAAAATCTATAACAATTATTTAGTTCAGGGATGGTAGGGTGTCTCTTTGCTTGTTTATTCCAAATGAATGGTGTTTAACTGCAATTAAAAGCTAGTACAGACACAGAATTCCTACCTTTCCAAGAAAGTATTTTACCAGCAAAGAGGCCTCAAATGCTCTCAGGAGACTGTTACTCTGACTGAACACACGGCATACTACCTTTCCATTAACAGTGTTATTTCGAGAAGTGGATCTGGTTAAGTCTAAATATTGTTCAGGGAAGAAGAGGAAAGATTTCCAGCTTCACCTCACCTCCAGTACATACTGTCAAAGATAAATGACTAAAAATGAGACTGTTACCCACATAAAGTTATTTAACTTCATGGTGAAGCCATGTTTAGACAATGGGACCAGCTTAATTCTAGAATTATTTTTTTTTTTTTAAATTTAAGTAAAGAGTTGTTCTACATTCCCTTAATCTTTTGAAATATGTCTTCATAGTCTACTACACAGGCACAGAAAGTAGAGAATACAAAAGCTAGGGTTTACCCACAAATACTTTGGGGATGGAGAAGGCAAGTTTCTGACTTTCCTGTGTCTACACCCCCTTAGCTCTTCTTAGTTGAGGAATCTGAATTATCCAAGACCCGTAGAAGGAAATGTTTTTAGATGGTCAGCAACTAGGTTTGACTTGAAGTTAATGTTCTTGCCCTCAAGAGCAATAGAGCAAAGAGTAAGAAATGGTACTCCTTATCAAATTTGTACTGCTAATGGAGAAAATGCAAAGTCAGAAAATACAGTTTACAGTCCATGGCAGCACTGACATTTTGTGGATGTAAGGGGAAATGAATCTTTCATTTCAGATACAAACGAGAGCCAGATTAGTAACGCTGAAAATTACAGAGAAGTTCAATTATTGTTTAAAGCTAACCACAGCTAAGAACAAAAAACCCAACCACCCCTGCCCCTCTCCAACAAACCCCAAAAAAACAAATAATCTATCAGAGAATTGATAGCAGACTAAGCAAAATTAATGGGAATTTGCTTCATTCCACATTATTTACAGGTAATGAATGCATAGCCATGGAGCACACCTGCCCCACAACGCAGCTGCTGCCTGTTTACTAGGGATGTTCCACATCCCCCTTCATCCCTCTCACTACCAGAATTGACCACAAACTCAGGCTTCCCCCAGCCCCAGCACTCAGACAACTTCTATCACCTCACACATCAGCTTTCTAGGTCTGATTTCAAGCCACAGTAATGCTGAATGCACTACAAAAGCACAGTTAGATGCTCTGCTTATACTTAAGCCTTTTCCTTTATGATGGCACTAATTTTGGGTTCTCTTTTTTAATCAGAACACAGGAACTAAGTGATTAGTGACATTAAACTTCTGTTACATTTAGCTGAATTTGGATCAGTAGGTTAAATAAACACCCAACAAATCTAATAGAAAGGTTTATGATCACACTGTCTTGTCTTTACCCCTTTCTTTAAAAACAGTACTGTTTTTGTTTGACTTCCTATGGGATTTGATCTTTATTTTTATATTTATATTCAGTGCAGGCATGTGTGATCTTTGTCCACCCAAGGCCCTCAAGTTAAAAGTCCTAAGGCCAATATGATTATGTACAAAGTAACTTATTTTATAAAAATTCATTAGTATCAGCAACAATAGCAATACAGTAGTATTCACCATCAAGCATCCAGTATCATATAGATTTACATAGCATCACTATAAAACCAGAGCATTTCTATGCAGCTGTCTGTCAATATAATGGAAAATAAACATTTTTCTAGACTGTTAAAAAACCCCCAATGTGTTGAGCCAGTCATTCGTAGCCAAGATTTTCTTTGTGTAACAAAATACATTCTCACTTAGCATTTTCAATTTTTTTTTTACATTTTTAGTATATAGTTCTAGCAGGTTTTGGTTTTTAACACGGTCTTCTGTTTTAAGTTACTATTTTAAACAGAATAAATAATCTGAAGATCAGATAGAAAACTATTTGTCAAGAATGAATTGCAAAGTAAATTATCTTTCCATTGATAGCCCACAGGGCTATTTTTTCCACTTTTTGAAAAGGTTTTATTTAAACATGCACACAGAGAGCACATATTACATTGCTGTTGTATGTAAAAACAAGCAAGCAACCCTTCACTGCCAAAGCTGGTGGTTCACATGTGGACAGGAAAAAAAAGGATTAAATAAACTCTCAAGAGGCCCTTTGTTTGCATAAATTAATTTCTGAGAAATTAAGATGTCCAAAACTGTGCTAATCTTCACCTAAAAAATCAATTCCTAGCATCAGCAGCTACAGTAAGTCGCACTGTCAACTAGAATGAAAAATGGCACAAAACATGCAACTAGAATGAAAGATGGCACAAAAGCACAAAATTAACTCAAATTTCAAGACAAGATCTTCCTGAACTTAGCTCATGGCACTCTGGACATAAAGCAACGCATGGATAACGGCTTTAGACTTTGAAAGTATTAAAATCAGAACTCAGGATAGATTTTTATAGTTGGCATAATTTTGCAAAAGCTAGAAGTTACAAATTCTGTAAATTACTAGAGAAGTTACTCTGAAGCACATAATTACTGGATTTTAAACTGCCTGTCAATATTATCCAGTCTTCTTAGAGTACCTTTCCAAAGTAATTTTTTTGATCCTGTAGATTAATACTTTATATAGAATATGAAATGCTGTTCTGGAACAAATCAGTAAAATGAAGCAGATACAATGTTAACATGCAGTCAGATTAACACTGGGGGAAAGTTTAGGTAGTCTAGCTTTAAGTGCACTATTAAAAATGTACTTTAACTAAAAAGAAGGGCTCAATACTTTCCCTAAATAAAAGTTATTTCAAAAAACCCCATACAACCCAAACCCAAATAGAACAAAACCAAAGAAGCCCACAATTCTCTATCTAATCTTATTTTAGAACAGAATAATGACTTTTATATACTTGTACTCTTTGGCAGGGAATCTATGAAACCAAAACATGTCCTGACAAATTGAGCCTTTCCTGAGAAGGGTTCATAGTCACTAATTAATTTATAAAGTATTACGTAAGAGACAGCAAGTCATAATGGTTTGAAAGACAACAACATGGAATGTACCAACATATTTATGAAGAATGACAATAGCAGTTATTTACATGTTCAGGGTAGTTAATTGTTCTTTATGAATTAGGTTTCCCCTGTATAAGTTAGAAAACTACAAAAAGTCAAAATTGGGAGGAATCCCCATTGTCTTTAAAAGTTCAAGTAAATCCATCTTTGCAGCACTCTCCTTAGACAATAGCGTATTGCTCGTATAAAAGGTCTCTTATCCTATAGAAGTCCTGACAGAGACAGCCTTCCAATCCAATTCGCCCTGTTTCAGTCTGAAACAAAAAGACATGTTTCAATTTGTTATCTTTACACTAATGAGAAACTTCATTTAGAATATTATTTACCAAAGAGTTTAAGACACAGAACACCTACCCTGCGAACAGCCACCAGATTGTTGCATACAAGCACTCCTCCTACAAACTCAGCTTGTATACCTTCTCGCAAGAGAACTTGCTTGAAGTCAGACAGTCTTGGCTCATTCATAAACACAGACTGATGTCCAAGAACCTTTAAACAATACAGACAATTTGAACACTTCTGCTACTTAACACGTTCCATTTTTCCAAAGATCTCATCACTGTGCTGGCAGCAGTGCGGCCTAAACTACAGGACTATAAATGAGAAGATTGATTCTATTTCTGTTTATGTGCACCAAGACATTTCAGGATAGGAAGGCCTTAGAAGTTATCTGTCAAGTAAAGGACAAGTTTTCTTCTTTGCTCACATATTGAAGATAAATGGAAAGCTGCCATTGGAGATCCCTCTTCCAAGCCATGTTATGCCAGGGACAGAGCTGCAGTAAGCTGTACTGCTGATTAGTACATAGTTCTACAACAGCTGTCATGAATCTCAACAGACTTTAGAGTTGTCTCCACATTTATCTAGCTCCTAGAACAGACTACATTTAGGACTGTGCAACAGTATCTTAAAAAGCAATTCTGGAATTGGAAGGTATTGTAATCATTCAATGAAAATATCTACTCACATGCAAAGTATTTTAAGAGTAAAGATGAATTTATAGAAAAAGATTAATGAACTCTCAAATCACTGCTATGGAAGTAGAGATGTATAAATTTCAAAGATCTATATCTCAAGTATATGAAGTATTTTCCATAGCATCAACAAAACATAACAAAATCCAAGACTGACTAAACACCAACTAATTTCCAAACCTGCAAGTACTAACTACAAATATGAAACGTACTAATTAAAATCTTATCTTCATAAATAGATAGTACTGTATGCTAGGCACTGTTAGTGGATGCAAGATCATTCTTGCTAAAAGCATAAAATCTGAACAAAGAACAGTACAAGTTTAACAAAGAGAAAACCAAATCTGAAAATCAGTTTCAGTTAGGCTTTCATTAGAGTAAGATATCAACCTCTAAGCACTAGAAAAAGACAAATGAATACAGAGCTTTTAAAAAATGATGTCCAGATCAGCATAATTTCTGTACCTCATGAGGTGGCAGAGGTTCCAAAGTAGGAATGATCTCACTTTCCTCACACATCTCCTTGTCATCATCACCGAAGAGGCTTTTCATTGCCTTCTGTTGTGCAATAACACTAGAGTCTGAGGAAGGCACATCCACTTGCATCTCTAAGTCTTCATCTTCCCTCAGCTCTCCCTCTTCCAAAATAACTCCAGTATCCACTTTTGAAACCCGCATGTCCAGAACACCATCTATCCACGCCAGCTCAGCATCCTTGGCTTTACAGAACTGAAGGGAGCTGACAAGAGAATCTTTTAACCTGACCTGGGTTGCACAAAAATAAAAGCACTATAAGTTTGATGGAAAACACAAAGATCTTACTTCAGGTTTTAAAAATTATCAGCTTTCCTTTCACTGTCTCTCCACATAGGTTTGATTCCTACTCTTCTGGGGAGGGCAAGGAGGGAATTGGTATCAGCAAGGCAAGATGTTCTATACTTTCAAAACATAATTTGTATAACCCTCATGTTACTACTCAACCTAAAAAGCAGCAGAGATCAATATTTTTTTTTGCCTTGCTAAAAATAATAAAAAAAGAATCTATAGGACTGCAAACTCGAGTTAAACTTACAGCCAGTGAAATCAATTCCTTTTGAAACATCATAAACCTTTTTTGAAGCCAAGGAGTTCCTCAGTTGGCCTTAGTAAATTTAAGGAAAATTTTTATAGACGCATTTAGGTTACTGAACAGGAGTTCCAAATTTTAATCCTCCACAAAAATTGTAACTAATATTTTACTGTAAGGAGGGAGTTGTAAACACAGTTTTTAAAGTGGCCATAACATTCCCTTATCCTGATTCCTCTGGTGCATCCCAGGACTTTAACCCATTAAACAAAGACCTACTCTGGAAGACTGTTATCTGCATGAGACTGTGCAGGATCCCCATAGCAGAATCAAGGCTGCAACTGAATGAAGGATACTGCAACTAAGTATCCACTTGCAGCACCTTCCACTCAAGAGACACTGGGATTCTAAAGTTCCACTCACATCTATTATTATATTTTCTAATTCAGTGTCTCCAGTATACTTCACCTGTTCAGAAAGCTTCAAACAGAAAACCAAACTAAAGCTATGCAGTAGCCTGAATCTCCCCCTTACATTAAAAAAAAAATAATTGAAATTCAATACAATATAATTACAATGCTATTCAGATATTTTGGGGGGGGGGGGGGAA